AACGGATGCTTTTGTTTTCTTTTTCTTTTTCGTCCCGTTTTTCCAGTGCCGGTTTTTGCACTGCACACGAGTTAGTTATAAAACAATCATCGAATGCCAATGAAATACGAAATTCCCAATAAAAATGATATAAATGCCATTCAGAGTAAATAATTGAATATAAATATCACATTTCGTTCCATTGTTTATGTGCGTTATTCGTAACGGACAATTGAGTGCAGCGTTCATTCATCGTCATCGTCGTCTTGTGGTTCGATTTCCATTTTCCATTCAATTTGATGTGATTCTTGTTAGGTCTGCAGCAGAGATGCATTTGAAAATCGATAGAAACTGATTAAGAATTGAAATCCAACCGAATCGAATACACAATTTGAAATGTAGGTAAACTTCAAGTGATTCAAAGAAACAATCGAGTGCTAAACACAGTAAAGGTAATGGAATATACAACGACGAACTAATAAATTAGTTTATAATCCACTCATTTTTCCCACTGAATCAAACCCCAAGACGATTTACAGCGGGATCGAAATGCTTAAGCAGAAGCACATCGACGACGTAAAAGCGGTTGAAAAGGCTGGTGCATCAATTTGAATGTCATCTGAAAGAAACTCTGCTTGAATGTTACTGAGCAAATAAAAACTGCTGAAAGCATGTTGAAATCCCTCTTGTCATTTCCTAATTAAAACTGAAATCAGAAAAATACACACGAAAATATGCGGCGATGTGCAGCGAATACAAAGAACTCATTGGGAAAAAAAAATGTACGGCGGTATGAATGTTAATATGGAAGACATGAGGAGAAAATTAGAAAATTGTAAATTATTATTATGTATTCACAGCCGAAGCTAAAAAGAATATCCGAATTTTCTCAATACAACCACGAATCGAAAGCCATTATGTGCCTTCGTATTGTGTGTGTACGGCTTCAGCAATATGCAAACGCATACACATGCACACAATGTCTTATCGTAAATCCATCCAACAATCGCATCACTCGTTTGCATTTGCCACGCACTTCGATGAGGTTGAGTCTTCTCAGCGCGCCTATTTTAAACGAGTGTATAAATGCAATGGTAAACTCGAAATAATAACCAAGCACAAAAGATTGCCGAAGAAAAGAATGCATTGCACACACATATGCACGGGCCGATTCGTCATTTGTTGGTTTTCCGTCGACGCCATATTTTTTTTCTGTTTCGCTCGCTCACTTACTCGCATGGTTCGACGGTTGTCGCAACCTGATTTTTATCGCATTCTTATAAACTTCATTTCCATTTTAGATGCGCTTGTATACTCTTTCTCTCTTTCACGCATTCGGCTGGCTTCATGCACGGCTGGGATTGTCTCACTTTCTCACCGATTTACATCTTTTCACGGAATTCTTTTGTTTAATTTGTAGAAGCGAAAAAAAAAATCATTTTGCGGATGAGAACATTTTGAAAAAGTACAAACACGTCAGAGTCGTACACACAAAAAAACACACACCGGGCGTTGAATCATTTTATTCTTCATATTCATAAATGTGCATGCGGTGTAATTGCTTTGGTCGTCACAACACTACTTTAGCCCTGCAATTCCGGTTGTTGTGGTTTTTTTCGCGTCAAGCGCAAAATGCAAATGAAAGAAGAAAAGACAAAAACGTAAAAATCATCATCGCAACAGCAACGGCAGCAGAAGCCACAGCCACAGCAATACACAAGCCCCGAGATAAAGGCGAGCTAAATTAAAAAAATTACAGATTCATCAAACGCTCATTGCACATCACTCAAATGCACAGCACACCGCACAATAATAATAAAGACGAGAAAAAAACAAATAAGCCGCTCTCTACCTTTCGTCACAACCGCCACAAACACCCGACACCCCGCTCTTCGTCGACGAGTTTTCTCGAATAAATAATTTCATATCAGACCACATATCTCTATTTCGCTCACACTTCGTCATACGCTGCATACAGCTTATATGCTCACCCGCGCGCAACGCCACAATCGCAGACATTTTAATAATTCGCTTTTTTAATCAATCCATCAACACAAAAAGGTAGTTATGACTCTATTTTTTTCACTTTTCTACGCGTTGGAAATGAAAAAAAAGAAAAGATTTTGCCTTTATTTTTGTGTTCGAATCAAGTAAACACTTGACTACTTGAGATTTTAATTAATAGGGAACTCTTTCTAGTTTACAAATTGCATATCGGTTTTTTTCACGCATACAAATTCCCTTGGAATTATGGCAACAATTTCAATGCAAACGCGAACTGTAAATAAAATCGAGCTCCATGATTTTTTTTTAATGACATTTCAATTCAACTGTGCTTTTATTACAGCAATTTATGAATAAATCCGTTCAATACGTGAAATTATTTTAATTTGGATAAACGCAGTGAGCGAGTAATGGTAGATTAAATAAGTAGAGAAGCAAAATAATGGAAAAATGGGTAATTTTTGAATGTGACCGAGTTTTTTTAGAATTATTTTCTTTTTAGTTTTTAGTTTCGATATTTGAATTTAGAGTGAGCAATAGAAATGTTGAACTAAAATTCATAAAAGAGTAATGTTGAATGAAGAGAAAATGAATTTGGAATAAAATGTTGTTTTTTTTTTAAATATTTATGAGAGTTAAATACAAAAGAAATATTTTTTCTTTCCATTGCACATCATTTCCAATAATTCGACGAAAACAATTGTATTTGATTTTTTTTTTCAAGTTCCACAATTTCCTGATTATTTGGAAGAAATTGATTTTTCTTTCGAAATGTCCCAAATCATGACGTCAAACCTGAATGAACCCAAAACATAGTGTAGAATATACATGTAATTGGCGATTTGACTTTCATTTTCCACTTCGGTGCAAAATATCGATTTCCATTTTCCCCGGCAAAATTTGTACCATCCAATTTCTTTTGTTTAACGTACAGAAAACTCCCGCCAGTATCGCGTGAGTCAAAGGAAGAAATTTCTTTTTACAGTAAAGAAAAAAAAACAAAAGCCATTTGTTATCATCCAATTAGTCAAACGCGTTAAATGAATTATGTGGAAAAAAAAGTTTTATAAGCTGAATTGTGCTTTATCGTGGATTGTGTGAGTTCTAACGGGGCGAATGGTAGTTGTGTGTTTGTGCCGTCACGTGACTAGCAAAGCGAAAACAAACTTTAGAGAGTCAATTCAAGTGTCAGTGCCGAAGCGTTGCACAGATAAATTGTAAAACGTCAGCTATACAATGAACTACATTCGGCTGGTATCATTACTATCATCGTCATTTTTCGCCTGGATAACAGCACACAAACATATCGAGCACAATGAGTGCTATATTCCGCAAAATTCGGATAATCACACATTTGTACAACCGACAAAAGCCACATCGAGACCACATCAGCAGTTTGAATACCTTTCGTGAACCATCGAGTCACAGCAACAGCAACAGCATCAGCATCGGTGACGGCGACCGTATCTGGTACACCGACGTCGACGCCGAATGCCAAATTGGTTGAGGCAAAGCGAAAATTCATCGATGCAGCCAATCGATAAATAACTAATTACAGTCTTAATTAACATGTTTCCATTGTTGAGGCTATAATAAAATCACGAGATTTTACGAATTTAGCCTTTAATCACCATCGTTAAAATCGCTGCGATACCATCTATTTTCATGATGTGTTTTTCGGGCTCATTTTCGCTCGCTTGCTCGCTTCCTCGCTCGATCGCCCTTTCTCTCTCTCTCTCTCTCTCTCTCTCTCTCTCTCTCTCTTTGGAATTGTGTACAAACACAACAATTCCGTTCGCATTCACATTGACATCCGATTTGGTGCAGTTGCTCGCATTCGATTCGAATTTAAATACAATGGAGAGCAAACAAAGTTGCCGAGCAAGCGCATTTCCACATTGCTCAAAAAGTCGGAGAAAAGATCTAGTCGCTCTACTCAGACACATTCGTTTGCCTATATGTTCTACTTTCCGTCTCTGCATGCGAAACCGAGTGAGTTGTTGGGAATCACCAGTACAAACACAATAATGTTTGTTACCGAAGAACAAATGCGATTTCGAACTAGAATGGCAACGCCTTTTTCGAAAATTGAATTACCGATGCGACGTAGTGGGGGCACCAGTTCGTTTTGAATGGACTGCACGTATTCGTAGCGATTCTAAATATGATTAGGAAATGTTCTTATTCATTATTGCCATTTATGTTCATTTACCACACCCAGCACTTAACGTACCGTCGGGTCACACACTCGTGCACAATGTGTGCGGCAACTCTACCGTTCGGCATCGACGAATGCGTGTGGAATGAAGGGACGAAGATGAACCCGATTAACGTTGGTATATGTTTGCCTGCTAGTGTGTATGATCGGGTCGTGTACGGTGGCTGTGTGCTTGTAGCCTTGCGTTGTAAATTAGTCAATTTGGCTTGTGTATGGGACGTGCCTATTTATCCCTTCCAATGAACGATGCGAACGCATCAAGCGACCTGTGTATCATCAATATCATCATTAATGCTAATGATTTCTCTTGCTCGGTCATTTGGTGTCTCGTTCTCGCCCCGTGTGCTGCTGGTTGCTGGAACAACCGAACACATCTCAATGCCGATCAACAAGAGAGATACACCGTAAACAAGAGACGCGCGTGTTTTGGCTATACGACAAAAATGCTTGAATTTGAGTAAATGCTCCGGCTTGTTAACGCATAAACGAGCGAGAACTCGGTACGCTGACGACAACGTCAACGATGATGATGATGATGATGATGATGCATGTTTTCTTATTTTTATAACCGCTTCGAATGAGAGCGAGCGAGTGAGTGAGTAGTTGCGCGTCCCTCGTGAACGTTCACACATGTTTTGTCAATTTCATTTCGACTCCTGAGATTGTGTTGTGCCTGTGCATCTTCGTGTTCGTGTTCGTGTTGTTTATTTTGCACCATATCCTAATCGGTTGCGCCGCAGATTCGCCTCACAATAGATGTTTGTTGCGCTATGATGTGCAGCCAGCAGCACGGTGCGACAGAAGTGAATATGCTATCACATTAGCCAGTTGAGGGGTTGATTTAGTAATAGCGGCCGTACACACAGAACGTTCTTCTTCTTTTTTTCGAAAAAAATTCTACACCACGACCAAATACCAGTTGCGACCGAAAAAATATTATCATCTTGTGCACGGACACCAACAGTTCAGTTTTTCGAATGGTGAGGAAAAAGTGCGCTCGGGGTTCATCACACAGAGAGCGATAAGCGATTTAACATCGCAACACACAACCAATTCGAAATTAAGTTCGCTTTTAGTGGCATCATTTTTATTTATCACATTTGATGTCATAACGTTACCGGCTACAGCACCGACAAGACGCACATACCAAACACTCGCTCAACACAACATTTCTAAAAACCGAACTTTATTCACGATTTGATCTGATTAAGAAATTCTAAGGCAAATATTTTCAACACTTTTTTTCCCGTCTTATCATCCGGGACTCTGTTGAATTTCGAGAACTTTGGAATGAAAAATTATTCAACGCTTCACTTAAATTTGTGTGAAATAAACGAGTTTATTTCCAAATTCAGTGACTTTTAAAAAGAATATTTTCCAACATTTTTCGGTGAAAAGATAAATAATGGATTTTTCGTGTATTTTTTTTTCTTCAAATTCAAGTGAAAACAAAGAAAAATGAAAAATTTCTACAAAATTAGTTTTTGAATAAAATGATAAAATTCTTAAAACATTAACAATTGTTTTAACACAAGTGATACGAATGCCATTTTGTCCAATCTGACATTTTCAATTGAGTTCAATCAAATGAATGTGTGAATGTTAAAGAAAAATGTTAACTGCCGACGGCTTGTGATCGCGCCGTAATTTGCATACACTAAATTTTAACTCTAGAATTGAACAAATAACAACCAACTTTCATAGGTTTTTGTTGCGTTGAAAAAAACTGTAAAAGACATCTACAAAAAAAATTAAAAATTAGTTTAGTGCAAAGTTGAAATGAACTTGGAATCAATGCCGCGCCCAGAAACGATACATGTCACAGCTCCGGCTGCTTTGAGTCGCCCAATGTTGAATTCGCAAACATTACCACAAAGATCACCGTTTGCGATTCAAGAATTGCTTGGCCTGAGCGAATCATCTCGTTCAACCAATTCAAATAACAACAACACAAATAGTTCAAACGGCGGCTCCAATAATAATAACAGTGCAAATGGTGCTGTTTCAGCGGTCACACCGTCACTTTATTCAAATGTTGGCCAAACTCCATTCGGTGGCAGTGATCATCATCAAATGATGGCTGCATCACGAATGGCATATTTCAATGCTCATGCTGCCGTTGCGGCGGCATTTTTGCCACACAACATTCCTGGAGCTGGATCACATCTTGGCTTCCATTCACAAGCATCGGGTGAGTTATCCAATTTTTTATCTGTTGGAAACAAAAGTCATGGAAAAATTCAAAATTTAAACTAAAAAAAAAAAATCATAAAAATTCATACTACTGAAATTAGATGCATTCATCATTCAAATTCTACCTCCACATTGTTCTGTGTAAAATTCGAATTAAAATGCATTTCAATAAAATTCATGAAGATGCACGCCTTCTAACTTTCAACACTTGTTCAAACATGAAATGATACACGAAGTGTATGCATGAACAGATACAAATATTTCCAGATTGTTAATGACCCAGCAACCATTTGAATACCATTGATTATCAAGTCATGACACGTTTGAAACGAGCCAATGATCGAGTGTGAAAAAAGCTGTTCACATTTTTTTCTTCGCTCCGAAATTGACTTTTAACACCGAAACCTCTGCATTACAAAGACAATATTTTTTTTTGTCGCGTTTGTTCATCTTGCATCTTATCATGCTATAATCAACTAATAAAGAAAATGCAGATTCCAATGAAACCGCAGATGCGTCGTCGTTCAATCCTTTCTTCTGATGTCGTCATTCGGCCAGCATAAAAATATAGAACAGAGAAATGAAATTGTGCTGAATATCGTGCTAAAAAGAATTGAGCCTAATTGAATTGGAAATGTTTGGTGCAAGAATTTTAACCTTCACAATTTTTCAAATCATTTTTTTCCTCTGGCTTTTATTTCGTTTGCTCGTAGCTGTTTGCATTCCATTATTATTTCATTTTGGTTGTGGTGTTTGAATCGTCTTGAGCACAGAAAATTCTTTTTCATGACGAGTGAGAGAGAGAGAAAAAAAGGCAACGACAACAGCAGCAGTGCCTGAGAACAAAGCCTGAATGTGTTATACCTGAACGCTTTTTCGATTCTATTGAATTCACGCGTCTCTATTCATAATGCAGCGTTCCATTGTTCTAAGAGCGAGTAATACGACTCTGTATTTGTGCTCATTTCATACACGTACAATAAACGGACTACCAGCATTTGGACACATATTTCATCGGCACAGCCACCACAAACCATCCGTCAACGTTGAACTCGACTACTATGCAAACATGAATCAGTTTGATATAAGAAAAAAAAATGCCAACAACACTTTATTTCGCTCGTCTTTCAGCCAACTATCACACTTAAGCATTCCTTTTTATGCGCCTTGGGGGAGTCTGGAATTCCACATTTTTCTCGACCGTTTTGATTGACCTCGCAATGGTTTCGCTTTTAAATACCAAACACATATTCAATATATTCAAAATTACAGTTATTTCGTAGCAAAAAATGTTGTTCTCTGGCCTGACCTTAACTGGCTAACATTTTTTGGCCAGATTTGAGAAAAAAAAAATTTCATGCATGAAACAACATTGTTCTCTTTGTTTTGAACGAGACAAAAAAAAATGCAAGGAATTTTATTTTTAGTTCATCAAAAGTCGATTGCATCATTTTAGCTGAAGATGAAAAAAATGAACACAAAATTAGCAAGTAAAAACGATGCATATGATGCTTATGACATGTAACCTTTGGTTGCATTTGCTTTGTTCCTGTCAGCCTTGATGCTGACACCTCAATTAGAAAATGTGGTGTCTGTGTATGTGTTTTGTTTTTTTCTTCGACAAATGAATACGTTTGCTCGCTTTGATGTTGGAAAAAAGTGATTGATTTATGCACGTATCGATTTGGTGATTCCCTTTGAAAATGGTCGAGTATGGTGTTTCCAAATGAATAGATATGACGGCAATTGAGCAATTTTGTGCACATCATCTATAGCATTTAAAGATTATGGTCGGCTTTGATGCCATATCAAATATCACAAGATTAAAGTGTTGACATGGCTCACGTGTGAATGCGGTTTCCTTTGGGGCCAATTTCGAAATTGCTACTATTTTCAAATTTTGCCGCTATTTCTGTTGTTTATAGTTTTTTGCCCGAATTTTTCTTATTCAATTATTTGTTTTCTAAAAATCCATCCAAAGAGTAAAAATAGTCAATTTTCGAGTAACTTTTTCACGTGTTTAAATTCATCATTCCTTGGATTACAGCCGACTTCATCATGTTTAAATTCGATATAAAGTTGTTTGGATTTATCACAAAGTGGAACTGGTTTTTTTTTGTCCCGTCATTTCGACGGTGTGAAAAAATAATGAATGTTTTCTTGTGTGCCACAATCGGTGAACGTGTTAAAGTGTATTCCGGAATTTTTCGTTGTTTTTTTCGCTCCGTTTTTTCCTTGCCTCACAAAAAGGACTTTCGTCATAAAACAGTTTCAATTTGAACTTTTGTTATGGCTCGTCTGTTACCCTTCTGTTTTTTCCTCAGTATTGTTTGTGCCAATTTTCAACACTTGCTCCCGCACACTCACTCGCATCCCGATTTCACGGCTCTCAAGTTAATTTATTATTTAGCACACCGAAATGCATGTATTATATCCAGTGCTTTATAGATAAATGTGTATATTTGTCGGGGCGTTTTGAATGCGGTGATGTTAACACACCAACAAAATGTTTCGCGCGGCAAGCGTGGCTGTTTCAATGGAAGCGCGACAGCATAAAAAGCAAATAAACCAAACAAAATAAGAAGAGAACAAAACGAAGAAGAAGAAGAAGGAAAAAAAACAATCGAAAGTAGAAAATGAAACGGTTGACAAACGCGTTCTTCGTGATGATATCAAAGATAGATTATTTTTTTTCTCTTCCACTGAAGGTTGCAGCTAATATCCTTTTTTTTAGGATGTACAAAAAACAGTCGCATTCACACAAGACAATGATAAAACATAAGTGTGAAAGAGTCGAATAACGGTAATAATAATCAAAGCAGGAAAAGAGACGAATAAAGAGAAAAGAAAACCCGTTATCTGTGTGATAATCAGTGAAAATTGAAAAATTAGCGAGTCGCTTTGCTTTCGGGCACACAATGCGTCTGAACTCTTTCAAACCCAATTTCAACGATGACGCTTTTCAATCGAGCGGTTTTTGGCATACAAAAAATACACTGAAGTATCCCACTCTTTGGTACAGCGAAATGTAGTCCGCGCACACGACACGTTCATTCAGTTCACCTTTGAAAATTGCATAATTTACGGAGTTTTTATGCAGTCGCCAAATCAAAATCGCATATACTTGCAATTTAGAATATTTTAATTAACTTTTAACTTCCACTTATAAAAGTGAAGTGACTCTATTTTTCTGCATCCGCGCAAGGTGGGTGTAAATGCGACATGAATCGTTTCTTCCTCTCTGCTCTGTTCGTCTGGCATTCATTCCACTTGCCACTTCACACCGTGACAAACAAAGCCGCTTAAATGTTTCTATTCCAGGGGTTAATGAATTTGAAATGAATGATGGATTTAAATTTGTGTTATATACACATTGCCGTTAGTAACAGCTCGTTACAGGTAAAAAAAATCGAACGAGATACATTTAAATTCATTGAATGCGGTAATTTATTTACCTTACTTTTGGCAAAAAAAAAAGTCAGCAGTTAAATTTTTGTCTCTATGAACTATAAATAAATGAATATTCAAGATGAAATTTTCTCTACAGATGTAGAACATTTTAATTCGTTATAATGAATTCGTAATTAACCATTCAATGAAATTTTGTCGATGTGTTGAATTAAACGAAGTGGTGACTCATCCCATTAATGATAATCCAATTTCCAACATTTGATAATATCAAATGAAAAATTTTCGCTTCTCACCGCCACAAAATGTAACGATTTTTCCATCCATCCATCTCGTTGACTCATGACCTTTTTCCATGTGTGAAGAATGCGAAGAAATAAAAATAAGGAAAAATGTGATGTTTGTTCAGAGGTGTTGATGTGTATAAACATGTGTGCAGTGTGCGAGCTCTCGGATAAGGCAACACTTTAATGAATGAATTAAATAGCACATGTCTAATGTGTCATTGTATGCAGGTTTTGTGCGAATGTTGTGTTCGGCGTTGGTATGCATGCAAAACTACGTACGTACGTGTATTGTTCATGTAAACTCTGACTCTTCATGTGTACTTTTCTCATGAACAGTTTTTTTTTATCATTTTACTGTGTCATCTGGCAAATGCAAAAGTAACACCTTTGGGCTTTACGCGGCTTTTTTCCTCTATCTCTCTCTCTCTCTCTCTTGCGAACAAATGTTTTAATATGATGATTTTTTATCGGTTGAATGTATTCACCACATCGAAACAACTAACATATTTTCTATAGTCAGCACTCGGTTGTGGCAGAGTAATTCAATTATGAAATACAAACATCCTGTTCGAGAGACAACACTGCGCTGTGATGTGCTTGAATAAATTCAAAAGAGTGTATTACTTTCATTACTACTTAATAAATTGAGCACTTTTTTCCCAGCAATTATTACAAATTGTGAGCTTTTAATCGGATCTAAAATGAAGGAAAAAATTGTTAATTGAGTAAAATTACATTAGAGATTTAAAAAAAAAGTAGACAAACCAATTAGAAGTAAATTGGATTGTGACAAAAGATTAACTTGATAGCATCGAAATTATAAATTCGAACAAAACAATCCTCAATACCGTCTCATCGAGTATTGAAATATTCATTTGAAAACAATTCTGGCCAAAGTCAAAAAATCATTAGATCATCAACTTCCCATTTGCTTGGTGCAACTTCTGAACGATGTCACATTCAAAGTGTTTCAATTGTGGTTGAAATCCTTGTAACAAAATGTGATTTTCATATTTCAAAGAATTTGATGCATGCTCCTCTTCAAGCCAACAACAATTAAACTAATTAGCACTTTTTCACACTTCTATGCTAATTTATTCGGTAGCGTGTGTGCATATGATGCGGCATGATGGTTACTACCATCGCCTGTCTTATGTGACTCATGTGTTGGATGATGATGATGATAATGAAAAAAAACTCCAGCGTTTGAATGCTCTTGCATCTTATATCGCATGTGAATCTAAATCGTAGGAATCGGTGAATGTGTGTACACAATGGAAATAAGCCCATTGAAAACGCGTCA